GCAGGGGAACCCCGGCTGGCCCAGGAATGCACAGCCCGGCGCTCCCGAAGCCCCCAGTCTCGGAGAGCTCACACCTCTGGAGAGACCACAAGGCATCGATAACGCCACTCCAAGGGACCTCTCGTGGGGTGCGGTCTGACCAGGAGGATTTCGAGGCGAATCCGGCAGCCGGGGCGACGAAGGCCTCCCAGGAGACGCCAGAAGGCGATGACGAGGGAGGGAAAGCGGTGCGGGTACCTTCTCCTCCTCCGGGGGAGACCGGGAATCGAATGGCGAAGTCGGATCGGTGGAAATCGGCAGCCAAGTCAGGAAAAGTCAGATCGGCGGAAATGGAAAGTGAGGCCCCCGTTGAGAAATCGGAGTCCAAATCGGAATCCGCAGTCGAATCCGAAGTGGAATCGGAATCCATCGAAATCGAATCGACTCGGAGCGGAGGAGTCGAAATGAGCCCTGTCCTCCGAGCACCTCTCTCCAGACTGACAGACCGCGACGCCACATCCGCACGGGTACGAGCTGGAGAACTCGCGCCCGTCGGCCGCGGAGCACGAGAGGGTGACACCGTCGTAGGTATCGAAGAGCATGCGCGCGCCCCCCTCCAGGACGATGAAGGGACCGCTGCTGCGGAGCAGGTCCTCGTGGGCGCGACTGAATGGGGGGCGACAAACGGGGTGGCGGAAGAAAGGTACCCTTCTCGGGCCCTCGAGGGCCCCTCTTGGGCCCGAAAGGGCCCCTCCAGGGGCCCTCCAGGGGCCCCCTTTTTCGGCAGCCCTTGCCACCCTCCCATGCATCGCCCCCCCCCATTGCGCGAGGCCCACTGGCCTCGTGGGCGGGCGAGAGGCGCCGGCTGGAGTCGAAGCCAACCATGTCCTGGATCGTCGCTACCTCGTACAGACACGAGAAGCATCAAAACACAGAGGAGGAGGAGAAGGAGGAGGAGGAGGCCAGGAAGCCGGCGCTGGATGCGTGCGCGAAACATCGGGAGGCCACGCGCGGGATCCGCATGCGGAGGCCTTACACCTGCACGGCCTCAGCAGGGCCAAGCGCCAGAAAAGACATCCGGCCGAGTGTGTATCCAGCTCTCTTCCCCTCTTCCCCCAGGCCGGCCGCGTCACGTGTATCCAGGTAGATGAACACATTGAACTTCCTTTAAGGTTCCCGGGTAAAGATACTACACAACATGTTGGTATTCTTGATTGTGTCTTTTTCCTAACACCGGTGCTTCCTGGTGAGCTTTCGGAGCTCAGCTCGGATTTCTTGGATTCGCTCCGCGCGCCAGGGGCGGCGCCGGAGGCGCCGCCAAAGTGGCCCGAGCGCCGCTCCAAGAAATCTGCGCGAAGCTCCGAGAAATCGTGTTTACGCCGTTGATTTATCCCTCCAACCTCGTAATGGTTGGGGTTGCGCGTTGCGATGTTGATCGAATCGCCCTTCATCAACACGTTTCCACCCTCGTCGGTGTCCTTGTTGATGAAGAGGACGGTGCCCCCAACCTCGAGAGGCTGGAGCAGATATATCCCGCCGATGCAGCTGTCAAAGTCTCCGACGTCCACTTTGCCGTCGGAGCAATTGGAGCACGATTCCGATCGACGACGCCTTGTCTCCCCATTGGGACACTGCACGCAAACGCTGGTGCCTTGCATGAAGTACCACCCGTAGCTACAATGAGCAGGTCCCTCGATCGGAAACGAAGCCAAATCTGCAGAGAAGTCCGACGCCGCACACTCTTCCTGGGTAACGCAGCCGTCCCCATCCACGTCCATATCGGTAAAGTGCCCCGTGAGCTGCTCTACATGATCGGTCTCCGCCTGAGAAAGGCAACCATCACCATCGACGTCCATGTAAGGAAATGTTCCACATCGTCCCTCACAAGTGCAGGGTACTCCAGGCTCCAAAGTCGGGCTTGGAGTCCCGGGCATTTCGTGCAGCATCGTAATCGCTACCGTCGCATTGAGCTGTGCACCATCGCAAAGAAGTGTCCAGTTTGAGTCACCCAAAGGTATACCATACTTGTCATCAGTGCCAGTGTGCCCAAAATACGAACATTGCCCATCAAGATCCAGGTCCATGCCAGCATCCAATGACGGTACCTCCTGATCCAGAATCCATCTGGGTGCTCGATCATCTCCTGCACGCACGTATCCGTCACAAGAAGCGTCCCAATAGAGATAATTGCCATCAACATTGGAGTAGATTGGCGCTCCAGTCTGACTTGTTCCAAAAAGGCTGAAGTACGGGCTGCCGATGCCAGGGTTCGAGCATGGCCACTGCACGTGCAGAACCGATATGGGCATGCATGAGCCTGCGGAACAAAGCTGATTGAGTTCGCACACGGCGGAATCGCACTGACATGGGTACTGAGAATTCGGAAGAGAGCCATTGGTAACATCACAAAGCGGTGGAACAGGTGTGGGCGGAGGGGTCGGTAGGGCCACGACCCGCTCCGATGGCTCTCCGCAGGGCTCGGGGCACACGCCGGAGAACCTTGGTTGCGTGATGATCGACCCTCCAACCTAGAAAAAACATGACTGCCCACGTTGGACATATTGACTTCTGTCGCTATATTATAATTCTGAGCCACGTCAATGTGGCGGCTGGGAAAGGGCATGCCACCCCTTAACAAAAATATTGCCCCGATGTATGGCCGCGGCGATCGCCCGGCGACCTCCAAAATCGACCCCGAGGTTTGGTTCGGGGTCGGATATCACGCAACGAAACCTGGCTGTGCCGTGCAGATGCCGCTGGAAGTCGTCGAAGCTGGAGCTGCTGGTCAGGGGAGAGAACCTGGGAGGAAGAAAAAACCGCATAACCATACACTTGCGACGGTCTGCGCGAATTCCTTGGCTCTGTGGACCCCCCTCCCTGGCGCCGCCGCCACACATGCAAGACATCCGCTCGGACCGTCGAAAAGTAATGCTTATGCGAATGTTTGATTATTTGTTCAATTATATGTTTTGGCTACGGTTTATGTTTCGCCCAAAATCCGCCTGTAGGAAGACATTGCCCGACCTAAACCTAAAAGAAAGGAAAACATGAACACATGCACTTTCTGCGCGGATTCCTTGGATCTGCGCCGGAACCTCCTCCCTGGCGCGCGGAGAGCGCCCGGGGCGGCGCCGGGGACGCCGCCAGGGGAGTCACAGACCCAAGACATCCGCGCAGACCGTCGAACATTTATTGTCACGTCATGCTGCTTCTTTTTCGAGAACCATTCCGGATACTTTGCCACGCCCGTCTGCATCGACCACACCACTCTCGCGAAGCACTCGTCGCCCTCGACGGGCGTGCCGCAGCTCCCCCGTGCTGGCACCTGCGCTGGCTCTGGGCTGCGCCGACCCCTCGGGGTCACCGGCGCGTGGGACCCCTCCTCCCCAGCCTGCCCCTGGGGGATCGCGCTGCGCCATTGATCGAGCAGGGGATCGACTACAGAATCGCTTCACCCCAGGATTGCTTTGCCCCGTCGCACCTGCGAACGAGCGCGCAGAGTGCTTCGCAGATCCACGGAGCACTCTGCGCAGCTGCCGCAGACTCGACGATAAAATCAGGCTCGGGGTGGATCGATTCTGCACTCGATCCCCTGCTCGAATTTGGGGAAACCAAAAGGTACCGATACCGCTACTCCCTGGACCTCTCCTGGGGTGCGCTCGGACCAGAATTTCGAGGCGAATCCAGCGGTGGCGACGAAGGCCTCCCAGGAGGCCCAAAAAGGGGGAAACGGGGCGCGGGGTAGCGGTATGGGTACCTTTTCCTCCTCTGAGAACTGGGAGGGAGAGGAGGATCCTGGCGAGAGTCTCGGCAGCTCTCCCTCGAGGCCGGCCGCCCAGACACGGTCCCAACAGAAGCCGCGGCACGCCGCCACGGCAGCCCAGGGGATCTCCAAGACGGCCCCCAAGGCCTCGAGAGAGGACCCAGCCTGGAGGCGTCCGAGCAAGGGCTCGAGGCAGCCGAAGTTGCACGGTTTCCCCCTGGGGCCGTAGGCGACCCGAGGATCAGGAGGAGGAGGAGGAGGAGGAGGAGGAGGAAGAGGACGAGGGGGGGGAGGGGGAGGAGGAGGAGGAGGAGGAGGAGGAGGAGGAGGAGGAGGAGGAGGAGGAGGAGGAGGAGGACGAGGACGAGGGGGGGGAGGGGGAGGAGGAGGAGGAGGAGGAGGAGGAGGAGGAGGAGGAGGAGGAGGAGGAGGACGACGACGACGACGGATCGCCTAAGCCCTTCGGAGAAACCCTCCAGCCGAAGTCGATGTCAGGCTCCTCGGGAAGCCTTCCCTAACGCTGGATCCGCCGCACCTCGGGCGATCTCGCAGGAAGGGCGGGTTCGTCCTACTTGTCGGGCTCCTTTGATGCCGATGTCCGCCCTACTTTTGGAGGCCTGGAAATGGGCACCAACACCAAAACAGGGGGTTGCCTCCACAGGGGGAAGATGATCCTAGATTTCGGTGTTGGTGGTAATATCTTGGCCACCCTGGAAGCCAGAATACTACCACCATCACCGAGATCGGGATCTTCTTCCCTCGGTGGAGGCACACCGCCGAAATTGGTGTTGGTGTCGACCTCTAGGCCTGCGATACTTTGCCGTCGCTATTGCCGCCGTACCTTTGCGGGAAAGATCCACTCTGATTGCTGTCCGAGGCGGAAAAAAATCCGCCCTGCTTGTTCGCATCGAGTGGGGTGCACTTCCGGTACGATTTCAAACCTGAAAATCTACCAAGAGTACGGCGGATCAGGAGTCGGAGGTCTCTGTGGCGACACGCCGTCCAGCCATCATAATTGGACCCCATGACCAGAGACCAAAAATTCCATATTTCTGCGGCGCTCTTCGAGCCGGATCGATCCGTCATGGCCCCCGGGACCCGAAACCAAGCGCAAACGCTCGGTGCAAAAAATGCAACCTCCAGATCTCAAGAATCAGAGCCCCGAGTTTCCCAAGAGTGGACCCAAGAGATCCCCAGGGTCGCCCAGGAGATCCCCAAGAATTAGAGCCCTGAGTTTCCCAAGAGTGGACCCAAGAGGTCCCCAGCGTCGCCCAGGAGATCCCCAAGAGAGCTCCCAGGGGGCCCAAGCGGGGACTTCAGAGGCGTCCTCTGGATCCGAGAGGGCCTGCGACGCTGACAAGACTGTCCCCGACAGCCCCTGGAGAGCGCCACAACGGCCCAAGAGGGCCCCCAAGAGTCCTCACGCAAGAAGGCCGCAAGACGGCCTAAGAGCGCACCCCAGAATCAGTCCAAAGTCTTCTTCCCTTCCCTCTACCCCTGACCTCCCTCTCCTCAGCACTTGCACAATATGGATACTACTCGACTCTCTCCCGAGCATGCCCTCTGAGTGCTCGCCCCTCCTCCGTATCTTTTTTTGTTGACGCACACGATCTGCGCGACCTGGGCTCAATACCATCCTGTGGTGTTTGATCCTCGTTTCGAAGAGAGCGCCCTTGCGTCACTCGCTCCTCTTCCCCATCCCTCCTCCTCGGCCTACTCCCTCCTCCTCCTCCTCTTCCTCCTCTTCCTCCTCCTCTTCCTCCTCTTCCTCCTCCTCCTCCTCCTCCTCCTCCTCCTCCTCCTCCTCCTCCTCCTCCTCCTCCCTCCTGCTCCTCCTCCCTCCGTATGTCCATCTCGGCACGCCCCTCACACGCGTCGCGGCCCCCGAGGGAGCTCCAGCTAAGGCCCAGATGCTGAGGTTCGCACGGTGTCGGTGCCTCACTTCGGCACGCCATTCACACGCTTCCTGGCATTCTAGGGAGCTACAGCTAAGCCCCCTTTGCCAGGGTACGCATGGCGTCGGTGCCTCGCTTCGGCACACCATTCACAAGCCTCGCGGCCCCAGAGGGAGCTGCAGCGAAGGCACAAACGCAACGGTCCGCATGGCGTCAGTGCCTCGTTTCGGTACACCCCTCACGCCTCTCGTGGCCCCATAGGGAGCTCCAGCCGAGGCCATGATGCCAGGGTTCGCACGGCGTCGGTGCCTCCTCCCAGCACGCCCCTCACACGCTCTGTGGCCTCGCAGGGAGCTCCAGTTGGGGCCCAAATGCCAGAGTTCGCATTGCCTCGGCGCCTCATTTCGGCACGCGCCTCACACGCTCTGTGGCCTCACTGGGAGCTCCAGTCGAGGCCCAAATGCCAGAGTTCGCATTGCCTCGGCGCCTCATTTCGGCACGCCCCTCACACGCTCTGTGGCCTCACTGGGAGCTCCAGTCGAGGCCCAAATGCCAGAGTTCGCATGGCGTCGGTGCCTAATTCCGGCACGCCTCTCGTACGTTTCGTGGCCCCATAAGGAGCTCCCGCTGAGACAAATTCCAGGGTTCGCATGGCGCCGGTGCCTCATGTTCGGCACACCCCTCTCGCGTTTCGTGGCCCGCGTCGGTGCTGGGGAGAGGCACATCCCTCACAAGCTTCGCTGCCCTTCAGGGAGCTCACGCTAAGGCCCAGATGCCAGGGTTCGCATGGCGTCGGTGCCCCATTTCGGCACACCGTTCCCACGCTTCGCGGCCCCATAGAGATCTGCGGCTAGAGACCAAATGCAAGGGTCCGCATGGCGTCGGTGCCTCGTTTCGGCACACCCCTCACACGTCTCGTGGCCCCATAGGGAGCTCCAGCTAAGGCCCCGATGCCAGGGCTAGCCTGGCGTCGGTGCCTCATTCTGGCACGCCCCTCACATGTTTCGTTTTACATACGGAGCTCCAGGTTAGGCCACAATACCAGGGCTCGCATGGTGTCGGTGCCTCGCGTCGGCACGTTCATCACACGCTTCGTGGGCCTAAGGCCCCAATGCCAGGGATCGCATGGCGTCTGTGCCTCGTGTCAGCACACCCCTCACACGCTTCGTAGCCCCATAGGGAGCTCCAGCTAAGGCCCACATGCCAAGGTTCGCGTGGCGCCGAAGGCGGTACTCACAACGACTGCATATGATTGTATCCTTTGCCAGGTAAAGTGCGATCCGAATGTTTACTGCTTTTCTGTTTACGAAACTAAGAACATGACAAATATTCAACACAAGCAAAATTCAAAACCATAAATGTGTATATCTATATATATACTCACCTATACACAAGTATATAGAGAGATATGTCACACAACAACACTTGTTCTCGCTGCAGCGTGGGCCTCAATCTCGGATCGGCGATGTGCTCCCGTCGTTTAGAATGACGCTCCCGTCCCAGCGTGGGCCATTTTTCTGGCTCCCACAGATCTCGCAGGTCTCACTGGTCTCGTAGCTCACGCAGACCCCACAGGGCCACAGGCCCCACAGGAACACAGATGTGGCAGATCGTCACACAGGTCCCACAAGTACCACTGGTCTGACAGGTTCAACGGGTGCCGCAGGTCCCCCAGGTGTCACAGGTCTTGCATACCCCACAGGTCCCACAGGTCCGACAGGTCACGCAGGTCACAGAGGTCCCAGAAGTGTCGCATGTCTCACAGGTCCCACGGAGATCCCCCACGTCAATGTTCCGCCGGTGCCATGGGTCCCACAGGTCTTCCAGGTCTCACAGGTCCCACGGGTCCCACAGGTCACACAG